AACTTTCGTCAGTATCCGGGTCACTGAAGAAGTGAAAAAAAGCTTTCAGAATGTTACTACCACAAAATGAAAACATATGAGACTTACCACTTTCCCATTACATCCAAAGATCTTTTTAAGAATTATATTGGTATTTTACTTAAAATAAAGCAGAAATGATCTAGATGGCCCTATCACTATGTAACATCTGAGGCAAAACAGGATTACATTGCTCAATAGGCTTTATAATTTATGTCAATGTGAAGGTCATTTTATCAGCATTCAACAACTCATTAACTAGCTTAACAAATCCTATGAAACACATGTTATTGCTGCTTTTGTAGCTCGAATTTCTTGAATACCACACTTAGAAGAGGTTCGTTATCATTTGAATATGTGATAAAAACTATGTCCAAAAGTCTTAAGAAACTCATACTACCAGCCAAAAAAGATCGTTAGATCTAATTTGTTTCAAAACAATTTTCAACAAATCTTAATTTATGTTGAGATTGCCAACAAAGTGCTCTTATTTGATAAGGCTCTATCAAGCAATGTGTAAGAACTGCTTAAAAATGTTTGGTATTCTAAAAATTTAAAATAAATTAATGTGTAAGTGAAAATATAACTACAGGTCTGTTAGTGGCAGTTGAGTCCAGGCTATTTAAGAATTCTGTATTTTTGAATTATACTGTACCTCTTAGAATAGCTTACTATAATGGAGGAAAGGCGTGGCTGTCTATAGATATCTAAATGACCGAAACAATATATACGATGGTGCTATCTGTTGTGCTGAAATTCAAGATTTCAATGCCAGAAGTGAAGATTGCGCCATCTATTGAAGGGCACCACAAACAACAATCCATAAAACATTTTTATACTTTGGGTATTCAAGAACAATTTCTTTATAACATAATAAAATGTCAAATAAACGTACTCTCCTCATAGAAACAACACGATTTTCACCAGGACCGTATGTGAAGGTTTGATTACATCTTCATTGATGTAATTTTTTAAATGTAGTACTTAAAACGTTTAAGGTGCTGTTTGTGATAACTATACTCCATACTGAATGAAATACCAAGAACTGTAAAAACGTAAAATTACATCAACCAAATGTCCTTGTACGAACATTGGTTAAACGAATCACAATTTAGAAATCAGACCACGTGGGTGATCATCAGATGTCTGATTTACATAAAGGTTAGCTTAATGGAGAATGATCTGTTTTGAAGCTATAATAAAACTCAGTAAAGCATAAGTTATTCTCTATTGTTGCAGGTTACTTATCATGAAACTTAACGTTTGGATTACTCATTATTTTTCAAAATGCATCATGACCAGAGAGATGAAATGGGTTACTAAAGTCTAGTAATATAATTCATGTCAGACATTCGTCAACAAATCTTTCTGAAAAGTTTTGTCACTGTTACTGTTGTTTATCTGATACAAAAAATGAATCGAATATGCGTTTTTTTAACTATTTAGGCTTAAGTGTTTATTTACATCGCTGGATAATATAATAACGTAATAATAATAATAATATAATACGTCTTCTGTTTACAGACATTTTCTTTATCGGAAATGTTATTTGAAGCATTAAATTGTTTAAGACATTTGATCATGCTATGTATCTATATAATTTCCACGTTTTTTTTGCAACTCTTTCAGTGTGCTTGTAAGCTTCAAGAATGGAGAACAATTCCTTTAGGCCTAAGAATACTGGAACCCATGACATTTTTACCGAAGTTTCCATGAATGAAGATCTTTCAGATACTGTATCATCCTATCCACATACTTTCAACAAAAACACTGAAGTCATTCGAAAAATTTCTTTTCTAGGTCTTCTTTGTTCTCTAATTTCCGCTCTGTTTTTTGCCAGTGCATCATTTATTGTCGCCTTCGTAACCAATGTGGATCCTATGGAGATTTTAGTTATCCGAAGTTGTATCCAGTTGCTGATGTATGTACCAGTTGTTATCTATAAGAAAACTTCTTTCTTTGGTGTTAAAGGAGAGAGATGGTTTCTTTGTATGCGAGCAGTGGTAGGAACAGTTGCCATGGGAATGGGATACTATTCCTTTCGATTGATTCCATTGGCAGATGCTTCCACTATAATTTTTAGTTGTCCAGCGTTAGTAACTCTTTTTGCCTGCGTTTTGTTGAGAGAACCATGTGGAGTGTTTCAAGTATTCACTGTTATTCTGACTTTAACAGGTGTGGTGCTTATATCTAGACCATCTTTCTTATTCGGAGTTACTTCAACAGACCAGGTTAGTTCAGCACAACGCCTCCAGGGTTCTCTGATAGCATTTTGCTCGTGTATTGCGGCAGCATTGGCCTTCATATCCTTGCGTAAATTGCAGAAAACACCAACTTCTGTAGTTATATGTACATTTTCCATTGCATCCATTGCTTTTGGCCTAATTTACCTCTTCATTGTGGACAATTTTACAATTCCCATTTGTGGACAAGATGCCATTCTTCTGGTTCTTTGTGGAGTCTTTGGGACATTTGGACAGTTCCTACTCACAACTGCACTGAAATTAGAAGATGCTGGCCCTATATCTTTGACAAGGACACTTGATATCATTTTAGCTTTTGTTTTTGGAGTATCATTTCTTGACCAATATCCTTCCTGGACTAGCATCGTGGGGGCTTTGGTTGTTTGTTCCTCTATCGTTTCATTGGCAATCAAGAAATGGAAAGACAAGCATAGATCACAAAACACTTCCTTAAGTGAAAGAAAACCTCTCAAGAATAAAACCACTACTATTTACAATTCAGTTTTACCTCAAAAAGCTGAGTAAAAAAATCGTGCAACAAGTTAGCAAACTTTTGAACTTTGACTTTATGTTATAGTATTATTATTATTAAAAAGTATGGTAACTTACCTTTGTAATATTATTATTACTATGGTTTTGTCTTGAGATACTTGAATAGGACTTTTATGTGATAATATGTTTGAAATTACAGTTCTATAAATATTACTAGCAGAAACGGCTGTTTGTGCTAGTAATTAGTAATCGTAATATTCATACTTCGTTGTAAAAAAAAATTAACATTTTCTAAAAATAATATTATATTTTTTCTCTGGGAAGAGCTGCACGGGAAACGTATTGTGATTGTTCTCTATATTTATATCCAACTAATTGGATCAAAATGATTCAGTGCACAGAACTCAAAATTTTGATCAATTTTACTCATATGAACTGTAATTTTATATATATTAAAAGTGCTACCCTTTATTGAAAAAAAATACTAATTTTTTAAGAACTCCACCAGGTTCCAAGTTAATGTCTGACAAAACAACCATTCAGGGCATTTTGGGTGTCTGGGGTCACTTGACGGAATGTGGCGCGACTCCCAAGAACATCCAATAAAAGTCCAGTGAATGTGAAGGCCACTCCATTTGATCAAAATCCTCTTCAAGGAAACTGTCTAAGAGTTAGGACAGTTAAGATGTTATCACCACATTGCCAATTATCTACAAGTTAGGACAGTTAGGTGTTATCACCCACATTGTCAATTGTCTGCAAGTTAGGACAGTTGAGGTGTTATCACCCACATTGCCAATTGTCTACAAGTGAAGACAGTTAGGTGTTATCACCCACATTGTCAACTGTCTGCAAGTTAGGACAGTTGAGGTGTTATCACCCACATTGCCAATTGTCTACAAGTTAATACAGTTAAGGTGTTATCACCCACATTGTCAATTGTCTACAAGTTAGGACAGTTAAGGTGTTATCATCCACATTGCCAATTGTCTACAAGTTGGGATAGTTAAGGTCCGAAGTGTCCACTGATGTGGAAAACTCGCTCTGAAATCACGGAGTAGATTTTATTGAAGTATTTATTTATATACGCTGTTATCAATGAAAGTGCCTTGCTTTTCTGTTGCGACACTCATTATATTTTCACTAAAGAAAAACAAATAATTTTTTTAAGTTTGTTTTTGATTGTTTTATATTTTAAACTTACTTCTTTTTGTTTGTAATTTTTATTGGTTAAATCTGACAACATATTATTTTATGTGGAAATTTCAATTGTTTTATTTATTACTCAGCTGTAAAAATACTGCCTAATTATAAAAATATTACCCAGTTATGATCAATACTGTAGTTTCCGAGATCCAAGTTTTGGACGTATACATCGCAAGCTACATAATAATAAGATACTGTCAGTATTATAAGGAATCTTAAACCAACAATCTTAAAATCGGAATATTATATTCTCTGGTGTTTCTTTCGTCAACCTTATTGGTATCGTTTAATCTAGCTTTTAATCCACGTATTATTTCAATACAATACAGCAGTAAAAAACACTAACCAAATTAATGTGAAAACACAAGCATTTAAAAATAAAACTAAATAGAAATATATTGATAAGTTTAAAACTTAGCTTAAGTTTAGAAGAGTTGCTTAAAATAAAAACTTTCAACGTTTTAGTGTATAAAATTGACATAAAATATCATAAAACTAAGTAACAGGTGTAACTATTTGTTCTGTGGAAGGCTATTGGGCCTGCGGCCTTTTCTGGAATTGTCTTACAGTTCTACAACAATGTACTCATACTTGACATTCAATAATGTTCAACATCTATAAGAAAATATATTTTATTGAAATTTTATATTAAAAATGAGCTATCATCACAGCATTACCACATACAAGTGATACATAATAATTATTACTCATTATTCCTGTACTACATGTGTACAAGTACAATATAAAGTACAGGAAACTATGTACTGACGTTATTTCAAGAAGCCGATAGCTGAATGCAACAAAGTTTAAATATCTGGGGTTTCCTAGTGCATGACTTCAAATTTAAGGACGGCTAGCACAAATAGCCCTCGAGTAGTTTTGGGCATCATCAAACAGCCCCTTTTCACATCGTTATGTTGACACGGCAAGATTTAATGTCATGTGTCATAACATACGATATCTGTTCTGACATCACTTTTCAGCATGATTCTAGCACTAAAAATATATACTGGCAAGTGACGTCATCATGTTCTGAAGTTCATTTGATTAAACAATATATATATATATACATAATAACAATGAAATAAGATAATCCAGCCTAGAAGTTTCGCCATTACATCATGTATAGTTTGCAATAAAAAGATTTATTATTATCTAGAGAGTAAAGTTCATTTTTTTTCTCCCTCTCTCTAACTTTCTTGCCAAAATATCCAGTTTAGTTGAAATAATTGACGCTGCATGTGATCTGTCATGTGAAAACGCTAGCACATACCACACCTGGCTCAATGTTTTGTATTGTGTTCTCCTCTCGACAGTAAAAACTTTTAAGGTGAGTACTGAAGTTGAACTTTCATAAAACGGTATTAGTGTCGTTAACTTATACATATCCCTCTACATTATACATCCATTGTTATTTTAAAATATTCGGTATTGTTGTCTCATAAAACAATATAATAGGGGTATTATAAAATACTTGTTTCGACGGCAAATATTGAATAAAAAACTTAACCTTTAATCTAAAAGTTTTAATGGCAGCATTTTAAACATACTTGTTTAAATTATTTACGTACCTAACTGCGTAAAGTCCACACTGAGGCATAAACATAAAATTACACACTATGATGCAATATTTGCAACCCACTGATTATTAATTTGAAGGTTCCTCACTCTTATGTGGCTTATATAGCCCAAAGCATTTTATTTTGCTAATAATAATATTTTTTATTTCATACATTATTTAAAGTTTCTAATGATAAAAACCACGCCCAACTTAGTAGCTGCTAAATAGCATCTAAACTTTTACGTTTTTTTTTGTTTATCATGCCTATAGTGTTATTTAGAAGGCCATTCTAAAGTAAACTGGTTTTTTTTATGAAACCATCTGTTAATTATTTGGTAAATGATTAAAAGATAATTAATTGATGTTATTATAAATAGTGTTATCATGAGCAATTGAAACGTAGTAGTCCTAGCTGATACAGGCAATTAATCGATATTTCAATGATAGAAATGTCAATAATTACCCAAATCAAAGTAGAAA